CAGATGCTCTAGATCTTCATAACCCAAATGTAGATTCACCCTGCTGGAAAGGTGCTCCTGCTTTTCGTATTTCTCTCGGCGACTCTGTTGACGCTTCAAGCCCGTGCCTCTTCACAAGCAAAGTAGAATTCGCTGATTTTAGTCAAAGCAATCCTTTATTTCCTCCAGCAGAATATTCAGGGAAAACTTCCTTAAAAAAACTTGGTGAGGAAAATCTGCATAACCATAATGTATATGCTGGAAATGGTCTGTCTGTTCCTTCGGTAGGCACTGGTACTAATAACTACACCACAGAAGAACTCAGGACCATTGATGTCACAAAAGAAACATTTGTGCCTATGGATCTGTCCAGCAATGGTGGGATACCTAAATTTTCTGAAGATCTGAATAAGCCTAGCAAAGGATATAGTCTACCTCAGTACTCGGAAAATGATTGTCAACTACAATATTCCTGGGGCAAGCACCTTAGTGTTGATGGCCACCAATATGGACCCAAAAAGCATAATTTGCCTGAAGGTTATATGCATACTGGTTTGAGCCTCAATGACACATTAGAGGGTGGAGTAGTTGCACTAGATGCTGCAGAAAATGTTTTACGTTCACCAGCTTCTCAAGAAGATGCCAAGCAGGCCCAACAATATCAAATGGGATCAAGTCCAAAGCTGGATGTTCAAACACTTGTGCATGCAATTCATAACCTTTCGGAACTACTTAAATCTCAATGCTTGGCTAATGCATGTCTACTGGAGGGTCAAGACATTGACACCCTTAAGAGTGCAATTACCAATCTGGGTGCATGTACTGCTAAGAAGATTGAAACAAAAGATACAATGGTTTCCCAGCATGACACTTTCGAAAAGTTCGAAGAATCTCGCCGCTCTTTTATGGTATGTTTTTAGGAGAGATCAAACTAGTTAATTTTGTTTTTTAGGTATGGCCAATGTGTTCAAATTGTGGAAGCAGTTGCAGTATTACCATTACCAGTGTGGAATTAAATCCCTCCTTCCAGACCTTAATACTAGAATGGGATGTCTTATGTCCATGAAGTATTGTTGTTTAAATAAGAGAACCTCAATCATTAGGGTACCCTTTTGACTATTAACTGGGTCAGTCCGTTTTTTGTCTGACCTTTGAATACTTTTATCATGCATTTCTGTTTCGTATGCAAGAATATGAATCTAAGTTTTAGTATGTCATTTTTCTTATCGAATTTACAGGATTTGTGTCAGCTTTCTGACTTTTGATTGTTGTGTATCTTTGGCCTTTGACTGGGTCAGTCCTGTTTATCTTATTGAACTTTGGGTATTTTCATTATGTGCCCTTCTGTTTTATGTGCGAATGATTGAATCGAAGTTTTAAGTTCTTTATTTGTGCATCGACTTGACAGGCCATGTTTGTTAGCATAATTTTGTAGATAACTGTAATTTTCTCCTCCAGGGCACTGAGACAGGCCACCCTCAGTTTATGGAAGAAGTTGCTTGGGATTCTTGTGGCCTCGATAATCAGCCCACGCCTGAAGATAAGAGCAAGAACAATGGTAAGAAAACTGAGAATTCAGCCCTTCTAACTCCTGCAGATGACTTGGGGGATTCAAATGAAGAACAAGTGGTCCAGGTATGCTCTATGTGTAAGTTGTGAAATTTTCATCTAAATTTTGGTCTTGTAAATTCAATGTTGAAAAGGAGACTTTGAAGGAGTTCCAACCATCCAGAGTTCTATGTTATTGGCCTACTAATATGGCAGGCTTGCAGGCTATAAAGAAAGTCCTCAATGAGAACTTTCTCTCTGATGAAGGAATGCAACCCCAAGCCCTTCTTTTCAAGAATTTATGGCTTGAAGCTGAAGCAAAGTTATGTTCTTTAAGCTATAAATCTCGTTTTGACCGTATGAAGATTGAAATGGAGAAGCATAGATTCAGCCAAGGTAAAGTTAAAAGCTGTTTATTTTGGTATCTGTGCTGTGATTCTGTCGCAGTTGTGGTCTTTATTCTGTTTCAGATGTTTCAGTAGATGTGGCTGTTGCCAATAAGATTCTGTACTTCAAATTTTCTCCAGAGTTAAACCTGAATTCCTCAGTGGCACCTGAAGCTGAAAATGACTCAGCGTCAAAGATTACCACTCAGAGTCCCTCTACTTCAAGCAAAAGTGTCCACATTGATGATTCTGTAATGGAGAGATTCAATATTTTAAATAGAAGGGAAGAGAAGCTGAGTTCATCATTCATGAAAGAGGAAAATGATTCTGTTAAGGTTGGCAGTGATTCTGAGGATTCTGTTACAATGAGACTAAATATCCTAAGGAAACAGGGAAACAACTCCAGTTCATCATTCATGCAAGAGAAAAAAGCTTCTGATATAGTTTCCAGTGACACTGAGGATTCTGTTATGGAAAGATTCAACATCTTAAGACGACGGGAAGACAACTTGAAATCATCTTTCATGGGAGAGAAAAAGGATCAGGATGTGGTTGCCAATGATGCTGAGGATTCTGTTAAGGTGAGACTCAACATCTTAAGACAGCGGGAAGACAACTTGAATTCATCTTTCACAGAGGAGACAAAGGATCCAGATATGGTCACTAATGATGCTGAGGATTCTGTTATGGCAAGATTCAATGTATTAACACACCGGGGAGACAACCTGAATTCACCGTTTATGGAGGTTAAAAAAGATCTGGACATGGTGGCTGCTGGTTCTGCAGATATGGAGAATCATGGATTGATAAATGGAGAAGTATCAGGCTATCAGAGAGCAAATGTGGTCATAGAACCTTACTTTTATCATCACAGTATTAATTCCAGTGAAGGATATAACTCCTTTGGGTCTTATGCTGATGGTTCTGGATATGACTCCATGAAACAGTTTCTTCTCTCTGTCGCGGATGATCCAATTGTCCATTCAAATAGGAAGGCCAGACTGGGAAATCACCACTCATCAGGTTTGTATGATAATTCTTCATCAGATTGGGAGCATGTTGCCAAGGATGAGTATGTTTGACATCTGATTATATTTTGATGTTACTCTTTCCAGTCGATATATGAATACACTGTATATATTGTAGAGTAGACGGAACACTACGTATTCCTATTCTCTGCTTGCTGATACTGCAATAACATTACTCGGTTGTGCTCATCGTTTTATTTCTAGCTTACCTGTGCAGTCATTACTATAGTACTTAAATTCTGCTCCCACTTGAGGAAAACATACTTCAGCTAATGCAGAAACACCCACTTAAGTTCAGGATCCTATACTATATGCATGATTCATCTTTTTGTTTGTTTATTACACCTCTTTTCTCTAACATATGATATTGATTTCAAATAATTTGCACAAAGTATTTTATTTAGAGGGCAAATATTTTTTATGTAGGAAAATTATATTTTACCTGCAACCTTATAAATACTAGCAAACTAGTTGTCATGATTATATATTTATAAGCTGGGAAATAATTATTTGTGATTGAACAGCAATATATACATTAGTTTTTCTTTTATGGAACTATAATAGGGGGAGTTAACATACAAAGATTAAATAATATGCATAATACAACATATAATGAGCTGGATGTATTTTGTTCCGTATAAGTGTCTGATTACTTGTATGTGTTAATTACTATGCAATATATATAATTTTTGTTTATGACTTGATGAGGACACCTCACATAATGTGCAAGCTGGATCCTAATTGAATTAAATTACTAGCTTATTATTTACACGATAGAAACTACCGCGGATTTGAATTTATTTTGGATCCTAATTGAATTAAATTACTAGCTTATTATTTACACAATAGAAACTACCGCGGATTTGAATTTATTTTTAATCCATTGCTAATTTGTAGTTAAATGAGATGAGTATGAGATTATTGTTATTTAACTACGAAATTGTGTCAGTCGCTAATTCTTTATTTTCTGGTACTATAATTATATGCATGTGATATTACCTTGTTTAAAATATTATTTCAACCATCAAATGCCGACATTTTACTTTAATTAGTGAATAGTGTTTTAACTCCAATAAATCTGCAAAATCTCAAGTCACGGGTCCAAGATATCATATTCATTCTTGGATTTAAGTTATATATATATCATATATGCATGAACGGTGTAGTGAATTTTCTTTTATACTAGCAATGAATATTAACTTGTGAATTGTGATTGTAAGTAAGATTATTATTTTTATCAAATTATCAACTAATGTTTATAAAATATAATCGTGTAAAAATATTTTTTACGATGCATAAAAGTCATACTCTTCTTTGTAAAACCCTCCGATTCATTTTTAAAAAACTGGCGGCAAGTCTTTTGTAGTTAACGTAACTCAATGATTATACATTTGATTAAAGAAATATAATTAGAACTAATAGAAAATAAAAAGACCCACTTGCAAGCATAATCCACTACAATTAGCATAAATCTAGGGTTAAATCAATGTCTAACTACTACACTTTGTATTTTCATGCAAAAAAAGTCAACAAAATAGATTGGATGAGAAGTTTATTAAACCAAAAGAAAAAGAAAGATAGTAAAATGTATTTACGTGCAATTATAGTCGATCACTGACCAACTCCAGTTGTAACTAAACCTTCAAAAACATTGGGGCATCTTTGCTTACGTATATACTTCCTCCGTCCACTTATACTCGTGCACTATATTAAAAATAAATAAATGTTACTTACTTGTCTAAATTAAAAAATCAAGAAATAATTTATCATTTACCATTTTATTAATATTCCTTCAGTCTAGTTTAACTTGTCCACTATACTAAAAATAGTTGTTTATTAATACTTGTCCAATTTATTTATTACTCTGAATGTGTCAAGTCAATACTGAACAAGTAAAAATAAAATGGAAAAAGTACCTCTTGTGTGTGAGGTAAAACATGAATAAGTAAAAATGGACGGAGGAAGTATAAGTTACAGTTTATTGCCTTCCAACCATGCACTAAAATATTATAGATTAGCTATTGTATCAATACAAGTTAACATTGCATCCACTTGATATCCACGGGCTGGCCCTATATATTGACATCTATTATTAATGATAAAGCTACTCAAGCTTTACCAAGAAAAATTAAGGGAGAATGAGTGCAAGAATATTGATTAGTGCACTAATATTCTTGGTTTTATGTGAGTGTATGATGTTAGAAGCACAACTTCAAGTGGGATTTTATGATAATTCATGTAGTATGGCTGAGTTCATTGTGAGACAAGAGGTTACAAATGCCTTCTTTATAAATAAGGGAGTGGCTGCTGGCCTTGTCCGCATGCATTTCCATGATTGTTTCGTTAGAGTAAGTCGTATCATTTTTGCATAATCTATGTATTTTATCTGTTGTAACGGCTAACCTTGTTGGCATTGTGGATAGGGTTGTGATGGATCAGTGCTGATCGACTCAACTTCAACAAACTCAGCTGAGAAGGACTCACCAGCAAATAACCCGAGCCTTAGAGGTTTCGAAGTCATTGATAGTGCAAAGGCCAGGTTGGAATCTGTTTGTCAAGGAGTCGTTTCCTGTGCTGATATAGTCGCTTTTGCAGCTAGGGATAGTGTAGCGATAGTAAGTAAAATACAATTTGTGATGCAAATTAAGATTTATCAAGTATTATTACCATAGTACTAGCCTCTCTACTTTCACGAGGTAAAGATAAGGTCTACATACACTCCATGGGATTTCATGGAGTATGTTGTTATATTACTTACTTGCACACTTGAAATTACTGTAGACTGGAGGATTTGGCTATGAAGTTCCAGCTGGTAGAAGAGATGGCAGAATCTCACTAGCTTCTGAAACAACAAGTTTGCCCCCGCCTACATTGAATGTTGACCAGCTCACCCAAAACTTCAAAAATATGGGACTCACCCAAGAAGAAATGGTTACTCTCTCTGGTAAGCAGCAGTGTAGCACTTCGTTTTCAGTTCTATGCACTGACATTTTACTGAATCTTTGATCTCTGATGTCTAGGAGCTCACACCATTGGTCGATCTCATTGCCTGGCCTTCAGGAACAGACTATACAGCTTCAACTCAACAACAAGCCAGGATCCCAGTCTTGATCCTTCCTATGCAGCCCAGTTGAAACAGCAATGTCCAGAAGGCAGCACGGATGCAAGTTTGGTGGTGCCAATGAACCCTGTAAGCCCAGCTATCACTGATGAATGTTACTACACCGATATTCTGGCCAACAGGGGCTTGTTTACATCCGATCAAACTCTTCTCACAAATCCAACTACAGCTATCCAAGTAATACAAAATGCTAGGTATCCATTCCTCTGGAAAAGTAAATTTGCTAGTGCAATGGTTAAAATGGGCCAAATTGGTGTCTTGACAGGCACAGCTGGAGAGATCCGAGCTAACTGTAGAGTCATCAATAGCTGAACAAAAATGTTATATATATATATCTGTATTCTAATAGAGGATTGCTCCTTTCAAGCTGGAACTTTCCGCACTATCTTCTTCAACCAGTTAGTACTGGGAAATCGACTATGTATTGCTCTGCTGCCCTTTTATTATGTCCTTTATCACTGTCAGAAAATTGAAATTGCAAATATCTTCAGTTATTAGATCTTAAGCTATTGTGCTGTTCAGGCAAAATGGAACTGCCAGATATCATGCTCAATATAAATTCAAAAACAATCAACATAATAAAGAAAGCCCTTCATTTCTTGATATTGGTCATTGAGGTTCTACAATGCACTACTACTCAATAGCGGTTCACCAATTAACAAGGGCAACAAAAATAGAATGAAAGCATAACTTCTTCCAAAATTCATCATAGAGCACGAATTGAAAGGTGAAACTTTAAAAAAAAAAAAAAACTCAAGTGGTCAGCTCCATGATGGCACTGACTATGTCTCCATTGTGGGTCTTCAGAGCCTTGACTGCCTTGCCCCTAGACACTCCTGCTTGTGTCGAGACCAATTCAATGTCCCGAGGTTCAACACCAGTCTCATCGACCTCTTCTTCCTGATCTGCCTCTGCAGCAGCATTAGAGCCAGACACATCTGGCTTAGCCATAACAGATCCCATGTCTGGCATCCTAAACTGCTGAGCTGCTTGTGTCTGCAACTGAGAGCTCAAATCCTCAATCTTAGCCTCTCCAAATATGACATAAGTCTCAGAATTTGGGCTTTTGAAGACATCTGGCTTTGAGATGAAGAATAAAACCTGCAGTATTGTGATTCAAAATGGTTTGCATATATCCTTATTCTTTTTTTAAAATATAAAATTCAATGAAGAATGATCAAGGTAATTTACATTTTTGGTCCTCTTAATAGTGACCCTGCTAACCCCTGTAACAGGTTTCATGCCAAGCTTCAACATGGCTTTCCGACTCTTCTTCTCACTTCTGCTTTGCTTAGAATTGCCACCTGCATCATTTTCCACACATATTCTTCTAAGAATTATATTGCCAAGAATAATACAGTGTGGCATGTTATCTCACCCGTCATACAACCATGCAAGGAAGTTAAACAGATCATGTAGAATTTTGTGCAAAAGCAAAACAAAATGGATCATCAAAACAAGCACAAAGAGATAAGTAGCAAGTCCAAAAACATCAATACTGGTCAGAACTGCACACCAGGAAATATATTGCATGCAATAGCTAATAAGCTACACCAAACCAAAAGGCATAACATAATTTCATGCAATACTCAAAATCCTGGCAATCCATCCAATAACTACTCAGAGAGAAATGGATTAGCATAACATCATCCAATGTCAAAAACCTGGCAATCATATAACATTTATTACGAATTACAAAAATGATGTCCAACAAGCTTTTGAAAACAGTCGCATTAAGCATTTAACTTATTACTACAAAAACAAACCCCAAATAGTTTCAATGCATTGAATTATCCACAAAGAGTTCAACTTGAAGGGAATTTTTAAGATAAACAAATTAAAACGCAACAAGTATTACAAGTTACAAAAATGATGAATAAAATCAATCACACGATTTAATCATTCCATAATTAGAAATGCACACTCGAACAAGTCAGTAAACTGTATCGGAATCCTTTTCTCCTTCTAACAAGGTTTTGAAAACAGTGAATTTAAGCATTTAACTTATTACTACTAACCAAACAAACCCTAAATAGTTTGAAAGCGTCATACTATCCACAAATGATTCAAATTGCAGGGAATCTTAAGCAATGCATAAGCAAATTAGCTCATCCAATCAAATAACCTTCAAAACGTCTTCTAAAAGGAATGCCGTCGAAATAGAATTCACTCACAAACCATATAAAAATCAGCACAGTTATAGGAAAGGCAACAAATGAAAAAAAAGGGAATAGGGGAAGGCAAATAATACCTTGGGCACCATCCTCCTTGTCATCATCTTCGTCGTCTTCAGAATCATCGGCGTCATCATCGTGGTCGTCTTCCTCTTTCACGTCCTCCACGATGGGCTCATCCTCCTGAATCTTCTTCTCGGCTTCGAGTTCTTCGATGACGGGACCTGGCATGGCTACTTGTGTGTGATGGAACCGCAGGGATTTTCGGTGCTTTGAGGATAAAATTCGTAAGCAGGAAGGAGTGAAACAAATGGTGAGGTTTTATCCTAGGGTTCCTCTGTAATGGGCTTCCGTAATTTAAGCCCAATATCATCATCAGCCCACTTATACCTTGTCTTTCATATCTTCCAATAATATTGCATAAGAAAATGATTATTATGAAATTCAACTCCCTTCTTTTAATCTTTAGGATAAAAAAACAAAAATATTTGTCAAGACGAAAATGTTTCAAGGACTGTGAATTAAATTAATTTTCTTTTTATTTTTGTAATAACGATGTTAAAGTCAGATTTTTTTAAGCTCACTGAAATTCTACCATGACCATTATAATTTGAATAAAAATAATAATATTGCGATGATTTCTTATATTTTATTCATCAATTTCATGTGTTGTCTTCAATCGATCTAACGTGACAAATATAAGTCGCTCGTTTTTGGACGATTTGATACAGTTGTTTCTTTTTAGATATTTCAAGTTCTATATTTTCAATATTATGTTTCATAAAATGATATACTAGTACCATACCTAACTAAATTCAGTATGATTCACGATTTTGATTCATTCTGTTCTGTAAATTGGTTTCTTTCGGCTTGGATGTAAATAAACAATTTTAAGAGGTATATTTTTTTGGACAAAATAATAAATCTAAGCATTTTCGTCTATTAGAAAGGACACTATGATTAATGATCATGGATGAATTAATGAATTAGACTACCATCACTTCTGAATAAAATAAATATAGATAGAAAATTGAAAATGTCGATTTCTCATTTCAAAAATCTAAGAGAGGTGGGAAAGCCGAAAAATAAGTAGACAAGAAGAAAACTCCTATTTCGAAGTAGTCTAGGGATTTAAGTTACTCACTTTAACACTGCCATATGATTGTATAAAACTGGTAACTGGACGGATTGGAAGGATAAAAATGGGTTGAAATAGCCCTAGTTGGGCTGTTTTCATTTAACAAAACCTGGAAATACTTGATTCAAGGTAAAATTCGTTCTTGAGAAAGAACGGTGACTCATAGAAACCCAAGAAATTTATTAGTATTTCCTACAATTACTCTATCAAAAAATAACTACAGCTAAAAAAGAACTATAGCAACAAAAGAAATGCACAAAAGTAAATTTATTACAGCCAAACCAAAAATAAAAGCAGCAAGAAAAATGAGGATTCGGGCTCTTTCTCTTTCTTTTTGGTGCAAAAGGATACTTAACATTGAACACTTAACTGTTCGTTTGCCTCCAAAAAATATTCAAAACATACAAAAGGGGACAAACAAAAGGTTTACTATACAGTAGTAGTAGACGACTTAATAACTATTGACATCATGCTTCGTAGTCCCAATTTTTCCAGTAAGTCAGCAAGGCTATTTTTGCTAGAAGAAGGGTTAGTCAATCAAATACAATTATCCACAAAAAATTAATTCCCTCACCCCACCACACAACCAATGCACGCAAAATAATAATAAGTAGGGTGAAGAGAACTTCCACTAGGCAGCTGAATCTGGCATATGTGTGTCTCCAGCCTCAATAGGCGGGATAGGATCAGCAGCAGCAGCAGGTACAAGAAAAGCAGGAACCCTTTCAGGGGAACAACCAATATTAGCAGGAAGAGCATCAACAGCAGGTGCAGGTGCAGGTGCAGGTGCATGTGAAGAGGAGGCGGAATCAGGCTTAGATGCTACACTGTCCACCGTGGTAGATGCGGGGGTTGGGCCAGGCTCATGGGACACGGATGGACCAGCTAAATGTTGGGCTAGAATCTCTGAAACCTTATCAGGTAGAGCTTCTAGCGTTAGCAACATCTGCTTGAAGTTATCTTCCATAGTCATTCTAATATCAGCAAGGTCCCTTACAATATTTGCCAACATCATCCTAATTTCAGCCAATTGCTCCCTATTCCGCTCTGCAATTGCGAAATGCATGCTCGTGGTCAGTTAATTGAAATGCAAGTTCATCTATTTCTCATTCTAAAAAACTTTCAAAACAGAGGCGCACTGAGCATTTAAATTGTTAAAACTACCAAAACAAGAACAACAAATAGTTTCTATTAGGGCAGAACTTTCAAGGAATTAACAAACGTGTAGCAGCAAAACAACTCATGCAACCAAAAACTTCAAGTCTTCAAATACCATACGATCTCTCTAAGCTAGTGTTTGACCATAAATTTTGAGAGTAGTTTCTGAAAATTATCTTCAAATATCTGTTTGACCATGAAATTTGATCTGAAATGTGACAGTTTTTGTAACTTTCCCTCACAAACTTCAATTTTTTTCCAAGTATAATGCATGTCCAAAAACAACTTCAAAAACTCATATTTTCACATTTCAACTTCAAAATCTAAATCCAAATCGAGCCGTCGGAATAGATATTTCACGAAATGAGAGGTTTACCAACAGACCATATTTAAACCAGCATACATACTTAAGACAGTTCAAAATTTGAATAACAAAAAGCAGAATGAAGCTCTAAAAGGGATAAGGGAAGACAACGAGCACCTTCGGCGTCATCTTCCTTGTCATCGTCATCGTCAGAATCCTCGGCGTCATCACCTTCGTCGGAATCATCCATATCATCGTCGACTTCCACGATCCAGTCATCATCCTGAAGCTTCTTCTCGTTTTCGACGATAAGACCTGGCATCGCTGCTTCTGAATGCTGGCACGGGAAGGGGAAGGGAAGGGGAAGGGGAAGGGGTTTTCACTTTTTACAGTGTTTTGTGATTAAAAATTTGTACGCCGGAAGATATTTTCTTTACCAAATGGTGGGTCTATTACCTTATGGTTCCTCCCTTTGGACTTGTTAACTATAGCCCAATTTCATCGGCCCAACTAATACATTGCTTCTTCTCTTTAAAATGAATTCTGAATCTAAATACGAATATGAGTGTAGTATTGCATTTATGATAAAATCTAAAAAATTTACCGTGACAGTAACTTTGTGAGCAAAAGATAAATCATGTACATTATAAATAAAAATGTAAAAAAAAAGTATTTGACAAAAGAGAGTTGCTCGGACGGTAAGCATCCTTTACTTTCAATTGATTGTGAGTTCGTCTAGCATATCATTTTTTTAGGAGCTTCATTAAGGAAAATGATCTTTTCACACTTAAAAGCAAACATGTAAAATCAATGTAAGTTTCACAAGTAAAACAAGTCATCAAAGTTTGATCCAGATTTGTTTTTTCCATCATAACAGCAACATCCTTAATTCCCTTTTGAGAAATTTGCTATCACACTCTCGAGCATAGACAATGAAATCATCAAGCTGGTAATTGAAATCTCAAAGTTGGTTATCACCAAACTTATTATTGAAATATTCGGCCAACTTCATAATTCTATTCTCACCAGAACTAGCAAATGAATAAATCGGATTCAAATTAGTCATACCAAGGATTAAGTCGCTAGTTACTATATCAAAGTGATAATTAATCTTCTAGAGTTGCAAATTTATAACTTTATAAAATACTTTCACACAAAAGTGATGTAAATATGAAACTTCGGACCTCCTACTACTTTGACCATGGATAGTCTTCATCCATTTTGGAACCAAATCATTAAGTTTGCCACAAAACGAATAACCAGATCCAACATCCACTTCCATCGAGCTTTTAGGAGTTCAAATAATGTTCTTTATAAATAATTTTAAAAAAGTTAGGGGTAGGGGAAGGAAATGAAGAGGGGATTACAATGTGGGAAACGAACCCTCACCAGTAAGATGAGAGTTCAAGTAGCCAACTAATTGAGCTATAAAGCTTCCCCGGAGTTTAAATAATGTTCACTCGTAGATATAACAAGAACACAAGAAGCAAAAATCAATATGTACTCGCAAAGACACAAGATTTTATCTGCAACATTGTAATTTGTAACACAAAGAAATTAAGGGAGTTGGCTTCAAACAGAACAGCAAGGACTGTTGAAATCATTTTCCACTGAAGTTGAAGCATTTACTGGTGACTTCACTTCAACCGCTAATATACTAGAAGGAACAAGTTCATCCCACATTTTTGCATACCTTAAGCAAAATATCTACAAAAATCTAGCATAATTTTGAGACACACTTGAATACAGACCTCATATCCAACTTAATATCCCAGATCATAACTAGGTACGTAACCATACTGCAGCTAATGGGCCGAACGAGCCATCACTGCACAAAATTTACAAGTCTAGGAAAGATGCAATGTTGTGAATACTTTTTCTTCAATTACTTTTTTGGGGCGTTCCTCAGAGCCTTCCAAGCCTCATTATTCATGGCATGGCAATGGGCTGAATTCCCAGTCCAGGATTTGCAAGGAGCAGCCACATCACAGACATAGCAATAACACTGCACCAAATCCAAAGGCACACAAGATGATTAATTTGTGACTACAACAACAACAACAACTATTTAAGACAAAGCTATGAAGCATTAGAATGTATTGCATACGTAAAGCTAGAGTAACAATACAAGGAATGCATTACAACAGGTTAGCTCATCGAAGTTCCAATTTAGAACTGTCCCATTCTTGGATCTAATAATGGATTGCATAAATATTTTTTTCTTTTCAAACAAGTCCAATTATTGAACATATAAATAATCAGACATCAACCAAACACAGGTTAGCTCTCACTTTGACCAGAAATTTTTCATGGCAATACTAAATCTATAAAGCTAGAGACAATCCAGAGAAATCAGTACCACAAACTTGTCTTACAAAAAGCATTGTATATTCTGCCAATATAGTTTTCCAATGAATAACTGGCATCGCTCATCTCACAACTTAAATTACTAGAAAGAAACAGTTTTCCCTATTCGGTAATTCAGGAATATCTTCTATATACCCGCAGATGTTTCTTACCTAATTCTTTTAAAACAGAAGAAGCTAAAAAGAGTAAAGTAATAACAGAAGCTTACTACTAAAATACTGAAGCAAGAACATTATACTAGAATTGGATGCACACGTTTCCTCTTATCCAAGGCACAAAAGATGATAAATTTAATACTACAACAACTATCTGTCAAACCCAATCTAATTGAATCTTAAAATGATTAATCTAATGACATAAAAAATCACATAATTAATAAAATGAAACAAATATTACCATTTCACAGTAATCCTGGTGAGGTGTCTTCTCAAAAGGATGTTTCACGCAGTCATGCCTTGGATGTGGAAAGTCTCGACATGCCACCTTTTCACCATCAAGATCAATAATCATGTCAGTCATAGAATCCCATTAAGAATAAAAGGATTACTCAAGGCCAAAAAATCCTATACAGCGGCACATAATAAATGGTAGCCAAATGATGGTAAGTACACAGAGATAAGGAATCGCCACGGAGGAAGAGCAAAAGATAATAATCCATCCTTTTAATTGTTCCATGGGATGTTAAATTAAGGAACATCATCCACGATCAATCCAACACTCGGTAGTTGTGCCCCAAATACGTAGCAAGAAAAAACTCAACTGGACAGACTTATGAAATGAGACTAATGATAATGCTGTTCAAGTTGTGACATTTTAAGAGCTACTTCACCGACTAATTAAGTTCGCGTTTGTACCACTTCACCCCCAATTCTGACAGGAGATTATCAATCTCATTTCATGCTAAGGGAATGTAGTATTCAATTTAGAGGTAAATAGTTCATTTTGTCATCAAATCACCTTTAAATGTAAGTGCAGCTACATTGCATATATGAGATAAGACTAAATTAAGAGAGATTCAAATAAAGACATTCTAATCAATTCAATAAGATATCAAGAAAAAGTAAGAAAATACAACCAGCATTCCCCAAACCCTAATAGAGAAATCCCAATTCCATCAATTTAAGTCGAAATTGAAGGCAAATAATGGTTAAAACAAGAAAACAAAAGAACCCCTAGATATTAAATGTACCTCTCCTTTTTCGGCGAGAACAGAAAGGTCAGAAGCATCAAGACTTTTGGAAACAGATAACTTTGAGATATCTACAGATTCATAAGGATCAAAATCGAGGATAAAGCACTCCTCTTTCTCTTCAAACTCTTTCAATTGCTCTCTCTTTTTGAGGCAAAATACAGGTCTCAATGGAGTTCCTTCATCGATTGGTGAAGTAGATAAATCTACTACCAATGGAGTAACACAATCCGGCCTTTCAAGCTTCTTCACCATTTTTGCGGAAAAAAGTGAACGTTAATGGAAATAAAATTTGGATTGCGATGGTAGCAGGAAAAGTGAACGTTTCTCCCAAAATTCGAATTTCTTTTGGGGAAGAGGAGTAGCCGTATAAACCTTTTAATTCCCCCCCACACACAATGGGCCGTAGAAGGCTTTTCTTCCCCAAAAGAGGCCTTTCTTAGAGGACTAAATGGGCTTAAACGTTAGGCGAGGGGAACATTTGGGCCTGGTTTCAACATAGGGGAATTCCTTTTTCAAAAAATCGAAACTATTTAATTACACAAATATTTCTATCATATTTACTAACTCTCCCTATAGTTTGAAATGATTACACTTTATCTCACTATCTAATAACTCCATACCAGACAAAAATTTAGATACATATATGAATCACACTAGATACACACTATATACATATATCAGGATTCTGGAATACCAAATACACAAGCGAGATATGAGAGTGGTGAGCGAGATAAGAGTGAGGCGAGCGAGATTTGTCTATGTATACATGCAAATCCACTTGAAAAAAGGGGTTTGGTGAGTAAGAAGTTGTTCACATTGTGGAGGTATGTCAAAAGGATTTGACGTCTAACTCAGAGGGTAAACTATATATTCTGCGTATAAGATATAATTACGGTGAATTTTGATCACATACATATGTTTTTAAGCATCGATATTTTCATAATATTTAATGGATTATTTCTTTGTTTTTTACTTTAAAGAATACTTAATGGATATTGATATGTATCTTATGTAATTTTTTTAATTTATTCTCTATATATACCTGTCACTCCCCGAGCCTACACCCTAGACGTGGCCGACACTCGAGAACCATTGGTGGCCCCAAGTGAACCCTTGGCTTTGCTCAACTCTCAGCGGAAGACTCACTCAATAATAACATAACTTTTAAAAGTAAACTATAACTCAAAAGATAAACTCAGAAATGTTTAAAGAAACATTCAACTGGCCAAAAGAGGCAACTCAAGTCTCAACATGAACAACTAAAAATGAAAAAACTCATGAACTAGTGTTTATCTATCTATGAAGCATTTAATACTATGAGGAATGTCGGGACAAGACCCACGATTATCCTAACAAACTGAAATACTGGAAAAATATAAAAAAGGGATCCTCCGAAAGCAAATAGGCTTACCAAACAAATCTGGAACTCGACTGGATCAGCGAAGCGCTGGTTGATGATCCTGGTCACTTGTATCTGCATCATAAAAGATACAAGCCAAATGGCGTCAATACATAGAATGTACGAGCATGAGACGAGAAATCTAAACAAGACATAAGCTTGAACTGGAACTGAAGAAACAACTTACCTCGTCTCAACTCCACTCAAGAATACTCAACTTACTCAACTCATTTCAATATAAAGCATTAGTAAAGATGCATTATAAAGAAAAACTTTTTAAACAGTAGACAATAACTCAATGTATTAGAAAATACAATATAACTCATTTTGTATGCAAAAATACAAAATAACTCTGTGGGAGATTCTCTAACCAACAACCATCACTATGAGTTATGTGATGGTACAACGTCTAGCGCATGCTACTAGAACTGTCATATACTTTGCTGGGGTATAGGACCTACTAACTAAGTTGATCCACTAGTCTATGCTTAAAAGCAATAAGGAATCATCTAAAAAGTATAACCTTTTTCCATCCTTGTTGGCTACATGGTTTATGAGAACTTAGAGTTATCTGAACTCGTCCCCATATTAGTGTTCAATACTACTCCCAAAATATAACTAGCTCATATGTTTAAAACATAACTCTTTCTCTAGTTTGAAATTATTACGCAAAAATCTTTCTCTTAAAAGAGATGGAACTCAAAACTGCTCAAAAACTCTTTTGAAAATCAGTGTTTTCTCTTATCTTAAATGTAAAAACATTACTCTTGGAAATACTTAGTTCCCATATATCATTTTAAAGAAAATAAACTCTACTCTACTCTTTCTCAAACTCAAGTGCTCAAGTCTTAAAACAAGTTTAAAATGATTGAAAAAGACTTATCAAAATAACTCTAATGAACTCTCAAAACTTGACTCTTAACTCTACCTTGAATATGAATTATGAATTCAAGGTTATGATTCATGTTATGAACGATCTTTCGATGTTTAGATGTAGTTTAGAGTAATTAAAATCAATAAGGAGCAAATGTATACTTAAAAGAGACTTAAACGGAGCAAGCGACGGAAAAAAGGTAGGGGCATGAGACCCTGGCACACTGCTGGCGCGGATGCCAGCCCCTAGACTTCAGGAATTACTTTTTGGCACACTGCTGGCGCGCCACGCCAGACCTCCTGGCGCATCTGGGGCGCGTCGCGCCACCCTTTCCCCAGAACAGTCCGACGAATTTTTCTACTCATTTTCTGATCCTAAATCACTTTTAATCGATTGATTTCCTCAAATTTTCCTTATGTTCAATTACCCAATACAAGTACACAAGAATCTACTCAAAAACAACTCTTAAACTCGATACACTTATCTCAAGAACTCATCAAACCCATCATAATTCAAGAGCATAAACAATACTTATCAAGAACTCAAATCCTTCAACTTTTGAGAATGAAATTTGCATTAAAATAACATGATTGGCGTGTGGGTGAACGAAGCCAACACTATGAGAACTCACATACCTCTTAGGATTGAATCGTTGGCGAAAACCCTTCGAAAATCTCTCGAATCTTGACGAACGCTTTGAATTTTTCTCCTTTTCTCTTCTTCTCGAACTCTTCTCAAAACCCTAAGCGTGTTTTGATTATGCAAACTGACCCAAATCAGATTTGACCCCAAAAATAAGACTAATTTCGAATTAATCTGATTGGGTAAGAAAAAGACCAAAATACCCCTCACTAATTCAGGTAACTTTCTTTAACTGGACAGGCAGATTTCAAATGGTCATATCTCCCTCATACGAGTTCAAAATTTAGCAAACTTGGTGGCGTTGGAAAGAGGATTTCAAGACCTTTCATTTGATATCTTATGGGCCACCTAACTCATCATGTGCGGAAAGTTATGATCGTTTGAAATTGACCCAAAACTCATAACTTGACATTACTTGCAAAATTTCAAATTTTTGGCTCTTTCCAAGTTTGGTGCTTTCTAAATCTAGATTGTTCTAACACCGGGTGTTACAATACCGGGAATTGTTTTTTAATAAACACGTACACATTTACATTATACCGTTATTATATAGTATATTCCATCATTATACTATACATTTTATATGTTAAATATTGCTATTTAAGTATGCAATATACCATAACTATCACGGGAAGTTATGTTATTAAGAGAGAAAATAGCAACGGTTTTGGGTGGGAATTGAAAACTTAAGCGTGCTTTTAGGAATAATAGGGTATGAGTGTTACTTATGGGTGCTAATTTTGACTAATTAAGTAATCAGTACTGCTATAAATTACGTTAAATCTTGAATCTAGAATGAAGTCCCAATATGGCTTGAAATTTTTATTTAAGATTTGAAGAAAGGTAGATCACAAAACTTTTATTAATTGATCTTTCAGGGCAAGGAGGAACTTATAAATTTGACTAGTATAGTTAGATTTCTCTTTTATCAATAATTTTTTATAAGGATATTTTATTATAACAATTGATTTTTTATTTTTTTGGGAATCATTTTTTATGTTATGCTATGACTTATGCATAATAATACTTAGACTATAACAATAAAAAAAAATCAAGATTATTTTCTACGTACAAGTTAAATCAAAGTAGGTAACACAATTATGTCTTTAGTTGGATAATTAGTCATTGTGGACCAATTGAAAAATCTCCATTTTCCAGTAACTATCTTGACTTGGGTTTGCTTAATTCCTGACTTTTTTGGTAAAAAATGATCTTTTAAATCCTCACGCAATTATCATATTTTACTATAAACGAAGAAAGGTAAGAAGTAGAAGAAATTAGCTAGAGAAAAACAGACGTCGTTGTCATTTATACCTTCTTGGGCCCAAGGTGGGTGGGCCGTGGGAGGGAGCAAGTTTGGGATCTTGATTGCTTCTTTATCAGGGATGGCAATGGGGAAGTGCGGGGTCGGGTGGGTTGAGTTTAACCCTTAAAATTTTTAATTCGCCTCGACTTGCATAACAATTTTTTTTATTTTCAATCTACCCCACAAAACTTTTTAAATATTTTCTTTTTTCTAGTGAAATGTGATACTAAATTTTTTTTTTATTAAGTTATATTAATTTAATAGGATAGTGACTTAAAAATTTATTTTTTAGAGGTCAATTGGGAAACATTAGGGGTGTCAAAAATGAACCCTAACATAGGTAACCCGCCCAGAATTTTAAGGGTTGGACTCAAGATAATTTGAATTGGGTTTAATCTCAACCCATTCAAGTCTAACCCGTTTTAAAAGAATCCTCAATTGAGCCCAATTCAATCTCCAATTTCAACCCGTTTTAAAACTCTTTACTAATGTATGTTACTATATTAAAGGTATGAATTATTATTTATTTAACATCTTTTAGGATTTATCTATCTATTTGTTACTTTTTTTAAAAAAATCTTGAGTTGAAATTCGAATTGTGATTATAAAAGTTAAATATCACTATGTTAAAATTATTGAGATTAATCGGGTCAAATTGGGCGGGTCAAGACACAACCCGTTTTTTAGCCCATTTGAACCCAACCCATTTGAGCCCAAAGTAAACTTGGGTGGGTCAAGACCCAACCCGATCTCCAATTTCAACCCATTTTAATATCTCCAATTTCAACCCAACCCGCTCATTTGACACCCCTAGGAAACATGTAAGAATTTGTATTATTTTTTATTGAATCATTTTCATTTACTATCTTGAATATTTTAGTAGTTTTATAGAAATTATCTTAATAAATAATGTTCTATCACCCTTATAACATATAAAAAGTTAAAATTAAGTTTGAACCCACATAAAATCACATATACCCGCAACCCATCCTGCCTTGCATTATTTATTTATTTTAAAACCCCACTTCAATCCGCCCCCGCATCCTACCACCCCACGTAGTCTTAGACCCACCCCGCTCCATTGTCATCTGTATTCTCTATTCTATAGTCATAATAATGAAACAATAGCTCACCTCAATTTT